CCCTGAAGCAGCTCTCGGATAAGGAAGGCACCGGCATCAAGTTCACCACCAACATTCAACCAGGTGACTGCGAACTGTGCGATATCTCTAAAAGCAAGAAGGCATGTCACCCCCCGGTTGGCCGCTCCCGTTCACCGACGCGAATGATGCTTGTGCATCTCGACCTGTGGGGGAAACATGGTGTGCCATCGTACAGCTGATGTCAGCATATCGCAATGTTCACCGACGATAAGTCTCGCATGCGGTGGGGCATTCCCCTGAAGACGAAGGATGAAGTGACTGACGCGCTCGAAACCCTGATTAAAGAAGTCGCCGACCCCGAGGGCATCTGCATCGGGAAAATCCGTTGCGATGGCGCAGCCGACTTCAAGGGTAGGTTCTTAGCAATGTGTCGGTCCTTCGGGATCGCCGTGGAGACAAGCCCCCCGTACGTCCCTCAAGGAAATGCTGTCGCCGAACGCGGTTTCGGGACCGTCATCGGTGCAGCACGTAGCCTCATGCTTGGAGCTCTGCACCTGCCGCGTCAACTGTGGGCGGAAGCCGTCAAGGCCGCCATTTACGTCAAGAACCGCACACCTACTGACGTCCTGGACGGCAAAGCACCACTTGAGGTTTGGGAGGACAAACCACTCGGCAGCTTGAAGCACATGCATGAGTGGGGGTTCGTAGCGTTCAAACACGTGGAAGCTCGCTCGCGTAACGATAAGTTTTCTGCCAGGGCGAAGAAGTATTACATGGTGGGATACAATACAACCGACAAGACGTGGCGGCTTTGGGACCCGGCGGAACCACTCAAAATTACAAACTCTGCTGAAGTGTCATTCCGCGAGGTAGATGCCCGCGACGTCGCTCGCCCCATGCACGGGTCTGACCCATTTCCCGAACAAGGCCAGATTTTCCAGCCCGGCATTATCACTGGGGCCGAAACAAGAGACGAGGAACCAGACCCGGCAGAACCGAACGACGGACCGGACGAAGAACCGCCCGCGGTGCGCAAAAGCGGTCGCACGACAAGGCCGCGGGACCGTCTGAACCTGTTTACGACGGAGCCGGTTTGCTGACGCCATGTATCCCACTCACAACCCAGGGCCTCCCGCACGACAGGTGCATTGTCAACATTCGTTTCCGAGAAAATATTGTCGCAACAACAAAATATATACTCACACGAGGCCCCAAGGCGAGGTTTACAAGCTGGGGGAAGGGGTGGGGAAAGAGGGTTGGGGGGATGACGGCGTGCCTCGTTGCTACTGTTTCTCTTTCGTCAGCGTCCCCGGAAGCACCCCTCATCCCACTTCGTACCCTGTACCATACGTTACTCGGTACTGCACCGAATCCCGTAGGGAAGCCCTGTGGCATTATTGACGTGTTTTTCGAAAGGCGATTTCTGGAGGCACACGCCCGAACAGCCGATATCTATTCAGCTATAGGTGGGTCTAGGGTGGTGGTGTGAGGTGTCGGAAGGGAAGGATTGAAGCCCTTGCAGACGATACTGAATTCTCAACCTCTTTGAGATTGTGACCCAGCCCGAAAGATAACCCAGGAGTCAAAGCAAACCGCACAGGCCAGTTCCGGAGCATTGAGCACGAAAAACAAGTTCGGCTCTGCCCTGCTGTACCTCAGTCAACCTGTTTCACTGCTGTAGAACCAGTGCGAAAACGGCGTTACTGAAGAGGGGGGTTGTCTCAAGTTGGTTGTCTCCTTCAAAATTTCTTCCGACAAAGTACGACATAGGTTGCTCATCCCTAGATTCTAGCTCCACGCAAGCTCCGCCCCTACAAAGTCGACTCAAAGGTGGGCCACAACAATATGTCGTACACCAGGAGCGTGTTTCGAATCTAAAGTATACCGCCATAAACGAACGCTTCTAACTGCTGGTGCTGTGACCACGCCAATACAGACCCAACACGACTGACCCTTGTGCTGTAAAATGCCGACAACTTCACGTGTTCGTTCACAACAAAGCTTTGCACCGGTTCGCTCAAGAGGTATCACATCAGTGCATAGGTAACACACATGCCTGCACAGCAGCAGTGGATTCGACAGGCACGTGTGCATAGAATGGTCCGTCGTTGGTGCCATAGGACACGAAGTTCAGCTCCTCCGCAACGCCAACCAGCACGGTGACATCGAAGGACGAAGCTCTCAGCAATATCCGCCCCAAGNGTAAAATGCCGACAACTTCACGTGTTCGTTCACAACAAAGCTTTGCACCGGTTCGCTCAAGAGGTATCACATCAGTGCATAGGTAACACACATGCCTGCACAGCAGCAGTGGATTCGACAGGCACGTGTGCATAGAATGGTCCGTCGTTGGTGCCATAGGACACGAAGTTCAGCTCCTCCGCAACGCCAACCAGCACGGTGACATCGAAGGACGAAGCTCTCAGCAATATCCGCCCCAAGTCGGCGAAAGCGAACGCATCTTCGACAGCGCGCCGACGCCGTTGTATGTTCCTGCACATGATGCGATGCAACAGCAGCCAGCGTGTTCGATGAGAAACAATGACCAATACAGATACAGGAGCGTAAAAGAACAAAGACACAAAACAACTGATGGGCCAATGCTGATGCCAAGTGGTTCAAAGGTCGAGACTCGGTAGAAGAGGCTGCCATTTGTAGCCAGTGTGACAACGGGAAGCGGATGTTCAAAAAGATACCCGCACGGATGTTGCAAATGTACGGCACAAACAGGTGTGTCAGTTCCCCACAGCAGCACAAGGCAGTTTTCAGCAGTAGTACAGGAAAAGAGCACAAAGTATAGCAGTAGTATAAAAGGAGAGGGCCGGGAAACCCAAGCGGAAACGGGCTACTGGAGACAAACAGGGCATGTCCGTCTCCCTCGAGGGAGACAAACAGGGCATGTCCATCTCACTCCCTTTCTGCCCACTTGCCTGGTAGTCGTCCTTGTGCTCCAGGGTAGACTATGTGGCAGCTGCTCCATATCAGTTGTTGAACGCGTACTCGTTCATCGATACAGCAGTACATCCATCCTCGAGAGTGTCGCCGCCTACAGATGTCCGCAAGGAAGCACGGAAGTGTGTGCTCATCCCCATTTAGGTGCCGCGGCTCGAAAACAGCCCGCTGCGTCTTGGGAACAAGACCATGAACGAGCGTCGACATAACAACCCCTGTGCTCAGCCCTGTGCTGTCGCGGTGGGATCGCTGCTGCGTGCACCTCGTCTGGAGCATCTCCTCGCGATCGAGAAAAAGCGCTGCAACAGGAGTCACACCACGTTTTCTGCTGTCCGCCCTGACACAGACAGTATCCAAGTTAGCTCTGCTGTTGCCTAGCCCTTGTGGTACGGCCTGTGGCGCCCTTGGCTTGGGATGTAGTACCGATGCTCCACAACTTTGGAAAGCTTCCAAATTTTGGAAGCTACTGGTTCCAAATTTTCGGGCCCAGGTTCGTTCCAAATGTTATGAACAAGTTTGGAGGAACGCCTTCGTACAAGTTCCAAATATATTAAACTTTGGAACTTTGGAACAAAGATTTGGAATGTTTAAAACGGTCCAAGGATCACGCCCAGGACCAAGCATATTGATATCAAGTATCACCACATCAGGTCGCTGATCCAGGATGGAGTCGTAAAGGTCGAGAAGATCGAGTCAGCAATGCAGAAAGCTGACATGTTTACCAAGAGTATGGGTGCTTGCTGTCAAGTTCATCAAGAACCGCATGATGCTCCTGGGAGAATCATTTGTGTTGGAAACGAAGCTCAGGAGATGTGTGTAGGAGGAAAATAATTCGCTGCTTGAAGGAAGTATAGCAGCTATAATTGTTTTCATGTTGTATCTATGTATGCAAGTACTCGTGAAGATTATTGCTTTGAGAGGACGTTGACGTTGTTTTGAGAGACATCGAGAGAGAAGTTGTTTTGTGTATCAGAACGAGAATGCCGTAGTTCTTGAGAGGATATGTTGGGATATTTGTGTTGTGCATGGACGACTCTATTCTGTTGTGTGGGTTTTATCCCCGGCGTTGTGAAGGCGTGCTTCCAAGTCTGTAACCGTCAGGTGAAGACAGCTTGGGCGCCTGTGTGTGGATAATGAATCACTCTGTGTTTCTCTACCCGAGCCTCCGTCACATACGCCAGCCACAGCATACAACAGCCGTTGAAGTGCTGTTACGTGACACGCGGGCAAGGTAGGGAAGTGACACGGGTGAGGCGTCGGGCACGGTCAAGTGTCGTTGGATGTGCTTACCCGAGGTGAGGTGATGAGGGTGAGGTGAACCGATGTCTCCGCCAAACCAGTCTTGTGCTTGAGCTGAAAATCAAACAAGGACGTTTTGTTTGGGTCAGAGGTAGGGGGAGAGGTAGGGGGGGGGGGGGGGGGGGGG